GAGAGAGAGAGAGAGAGAGAGAGACAGACAGACAGACAGACAGATAGAGACAAAAAAAAATCAAACGAGCAGAAAGAAACGCAAAAAGATTTAAAAACTTTTTTTCTTTCTTCTTCTTCTTCTTCTTCTGGAAACAGTTTCAAGCCAAGACAAGTTACGTTACGAGAGCGGGCGTGAGTGGGTTGGGTGGTCGGTGGTGTTACTTACGTGTTACCTGCTGTGTCACGGGCGGGGTGCGTTGGGCAGCGGGCACGTGTCAGTTTATGCTTGGACGCGGGGGGGAGGGGGGGTAGAGGGGTTATAAGATGACTTGCAAATGCCACAAAAAATGTACGTACGTTTTCAGTGCTTTGTTAGCTTTTTTCTGCATACGTGTGGTCAATTATTTTTATTTGATTTTCATTATTTTGTTATTTGTTTATTTTGCACTATTACTTACATTTTATTAATCTCCCTCTCTCTCTCTCTCTCTCTCTCTCTCTCTCTCTCTCTCTCTCTCTCTCTCTCTCTCTCTCTCTCTCTCTCTCTCTCTCTCTCTCTCTCTCTCTCTCTCTTTCTCTCTCTCTCTGTTCGGTCTCTGTTGCATGTTTTCCCATCCATAAAAATACAACAAAAAAAGCTCCAAAACACCATTACTAAGTCATCGAGTGTCACCTTCTCACTTGCGTTACCTGATGCATTCAACCTCCCCCAACCCTCTGCCCACCCCTTGCCTCTGCCTCCACCCCCAACCTCTCTTCCCCATGCCTCTGCCTCTTCCCCTTTCCTCCTGCTCTCCCCTTCCCTCTTCCTTCCATTCCATGCTTCTGCCTCTTCCCCCTCCCCCCTTCCTCCTCCTCCTCCTCCCCCTTCTCCCTTTCCTCCCCATGCCTCTACCTCTTCCCCCTTCCCCCTTCCTCCTCCTCTCCCCCCTTCTCCCTTTCCTCCCCATGCCTCTACCTCCACCCCAACGTCTCTTCTTCCAACCTCACCTCCCCACCCATGCCGCTACCCCTTCCTACCCCTTCGAGTCCCGATATCCCTCCCCCACTTCCCTATCCCCAGCCTCCATCCCAACCCCCTCCCCCCCATGCCTCTGTCCCCTTTTTCCTCCTCTGGTCACGGCTAGGGGTGTTGGGATTGAATATATATTTTATACTATTATTTACATTTTATTAATCTCTCTCTCTCTCTCTCTCTCTCTCTCTCTCTCTCTCTCTCTCTCTCTCTCTCTCTCTCTCTCTCTCTCTCTCTCTCTCTCTCTCTCTTTCTCTCTCTCTCTCTCTCTCTCTCTCTCTCTTTCAATATTTCACACTGGGCATACAGTATATAAATAAGTATAGTTTAGAGATATTTCAAAGGAAAATACAAAATTTCGCTTAAGGAACATTGTTTCATACTTAGTTTTGATTATTTAAATTGCATATAATTGCACTAACATATTGTATGTGAGTATATAAAAGTTTACCCTCCCCACATACACTCACGCACATGCACACGCACACGCATACGCATACGCGCACACACACACACACACACACACACACACACACACACACACACACACACACACACACACACACACACACACACACACACACACACACACACACACACACACACACACACACACACACACACACACGCGCATGTATATTTGTGTATGTGTGTGTGTGTCTGTGTATTTCTTCAACTTCCAGAACTGAAAGTTAATGAATTCAGCGAGAGGAAGTGAAATCAATATATGCATATCGCTTGTTTAAAATGTAACACATAATTTTGTGCCGGTGAATTTCGTAGGGCTGAGCGCTAGTGAAAGGACACGAAGGAGGCAAGATAACAAGTTATTCAGCGAGCGTGAGGAGACAATACACGAGGAGAAGTAATCAAAGGAACAAAAGTGGGGCGAGCGAGCCGAGCAAGGCAGCTTTAAGCGGGCAACACGTGACGTGCCGAGTCTTCAGGCCCGCCCACCCTCCCTCCGTCCCTCCGGCCCTCCCTCCTTCCCTCCGTCCCTCCCTCCCTCCCTCCCTCCCTCCTCCTACTGCCATCTCGACGGGATACTAGGCCTCCTGCAGCCGCGCCCTCGGTTTCGTTGACCCTCGGCTCTCCACCACAGCGATAATCTAGTGTAGTTCTCCGCCACACCACCCAAGCGACCGAGACCATTGCTGGATTGCTGTCGTTTCCATCTAACGACGTCTAACGCTCTGCCACACTGAAACGACATCTTTTCCGAACTGTACTCACAAAATGCGATTCCTTTGCAACGCCTCGTCTTCGAGAAAGATACATTGGCTGCAGTCCCGGAGATGAGTCTGTGTAGGCCTTGCCGAACGGAGTTTTTTTGAAAGACTGAATCAAGAGCGGCCTTCAGCAACATACCTTGAACAATTTATTTTAAAATATGTATCGTTTTGAAACCTGAAACCTGAAACCTGTAGTAATTCATTAATGAAACGCTGTCGATAGTCTTTGTACAAGAGGCAGTAATATCTAATAAAGTTCACCTTCATCAATCATGGATGAAAATTCACTACTGAAGAAAAAAGATACTAATTAAACTTTCATTTGTGAAAAAAATAAAATAAAATCAGAAAATTTCAGCCTTCCTGTTTACATGATCCTCAGCACACCTTGCTTTCGTAACGCTTTTACGTCGCTATATAACGCCGAAGAAGCCGTTGCCCGCGTCACATAACAAGGCTAAAGTGCTCTGCCCTTGGAACACCGCGGCGAGAAGAGGCTGAGGGAAGGAATTACATTTTTCCCCTCTTTCCATGCGAGGGGATGCGATTGGGAGAGAAGTGAAAAATGACACGAAGCGGGTGGAGGGAAGGAGAGGAGGAGAGTGGGATGGAAGGAGAGAAGAGAGATGAGGACATAACCGTTAAGAGGAACGGCGGAGGGAAGAGGTGGATTTCAACGAAGAGGAGAGAGAACTGCAGAGAAGAGAGAGAAGGGAAACTGAGACATAATGGGATAAGGAGGCGGAACAGCGAGGGAGGACTGAGATTATGTGCTAAGGGAGATGGGGCGAAGCGTGATAAAAATAAGAGAAAAAAAATACATATAAGAAATACAGAGGGAAATATACACGGGATGATGGCATAATGGTGATTGAATTACAGAAATTGGAAGCATGGAAGTAGGACCTGCGATAATGAAATGATAGGAAGATTAGGATAACTATTACTGTTAATTAAGCTTTTAAACGTGACAAGATTTTTTTAGCTGTTTTTCTATCCAAAATGATTTAGAATAAGACGAAGGTTGGTGTACATCATACAAATGCTGGCACTTGCATTTAAGAATATGTAGTATATATATTAAGAGAGACGGGTAAGATTTCTACATAGATAAGATTTTTTGCACTTAGATGTCTTTTTAGGTTTTATAGTATTTTCTTTTTTAATACGATTAAGAATTCAAAGAAAGGAAGACAGTGCCACGCAGATCAACATCATTAGTAGTTATGATAATGATGAAAAAGATAATATTAATGATATGAATGATTATAAGGATAATAACAATGGTAATACTAATACTAATACTAATTATTATTATTATCATTGTTATTATTATTATCATTATTATTAATTAAAAGCAAATTAAAAAATAACAACGACCAGACCTCGCTCTCAAAGTCAAATTCCCCCATGATTATTATAACTGCCCGTATCATTTTGTACAAAGTTTATAAGGCATCCCTTTCTCTGAGAACATTGCTGTAGATTAATTTTCTCCTGAAAGACAGGTCTTTGATACAATCCTTGAAATGCCTTTGTGGAGGATGGAACTTCAGACGACACGTAGTCTTAATTACAGGCTACGAAATTTCCAAGAACAAGGGTAGACTTTGACTGAAAGAGTCGATAGAATGGCGATGGAGTTTTACCGTCTTTTTTGCCGTCTTTGCGATTGGAATGACTGATTTAAGGTTGAATAAAAGTAGTTTCGAACGGTGGTTTGATTACTGGGGATGGTGTATGAACTCTTTTAAGTATTAATGGTGGTATGGAAGGGTTTAATGCAAGAACAGGTCGTAGGAAAGATTCCTCTTTAAATTTGTTATGAATATGAATAACGTCTAAGGTAAACATGATCAAGAACAAGTCAAATAGTCACCGAGCAAACAAGCCAAAGCAAGATGACCTGTAAAGCAAGTCAGCTGTGCTACAAGACTATCACAGAGCAAGCGACATGAGCAACGCGACCTCCCAACCCAAGCCGCACAAGCAACATGACCTCTAAAGCCAAGCCAGATAAGCAACACGACCTCCGTAGACAAGCCAGGTAGGCAACAGAGCGTGCCTACCTCCCTCCCCAATCCCCCCCATCCCCTTCCCTCCCCGACACCCCGACACACCATGGTCGGCAACAGGGCGTCTCGGCATATCGGCTTTAAAGGCTCACACACACACGTGACGAGCGCAACTGCCGACCAGCTTGGAATAATTGGCCCCTCAGACCCTCCTCCTTCGCCTTGTGCATGGAGGAGGGCGAGAAGAAAAGAGAGGATAAGAGTGAAAGGAAAAGAGAGAGAGAGAGAGAGAGAGAGAGAGAGAGAGAGAGAGAGAGAGAGAGAGAGAGAGAGAGAGAGAGAGAGAGAGAGAGAGAGAGAGAGAGAGAGAGGGTGGTATACAATAGAGAAGAGAGTGGTGAGACAGAGAGATAAAGCGTAGACAGACTACATACCGACAGAAATCAAAGTTGCATCGTTAGCGGAGCCCCAGCGCGCAGTGCACTATGGGAGTACGAAGGAAAGAAACAAAAGCGCTCGCTTGCAGCTGCCTTGTTTGCTCCTTTTAATGGCTTGCTGCTCGCTGGATTTTTGTTCATTAGCCCCATTCATCACGCCACTGATTTATACAAAAGGAAACTATCGTTAAGTGGAACACGGACAATGCAGGGGACACTCTAATATCGGTATTCATGTTGGGAATCTGAGTGCCTTACTTTACTAACTTTAGTTTTTTGAATAAGGATTCTTGCACGAGTAAAACAGTAGTATAGATTATTTTTATTCCAAAAAAATATAAAGGCCTTTTTTTATTTTCAGGAACTGACACCTACAATCGTTTAAGGTAAGTCAGCAGCCGGAGACATGGATATGCATGTAAAACTAATGTTATCACTTTTATTCTTAAGTCCTTTACTCATATGCTGAAAAAAGCATTATGCTTTTCCTTCACCCCGATCCTTGAAGGCGTCCCAGCCGTCAAGGCTCCATTACAGATATCAACACAACGTTCTCTCCACGCACAAGCAACTGATTCACATGGCGTTTTCTGATTTCCCTTTTCTTCCTCCTTCTTCGCTTCTTCTTCGTTTCCCCTTCTTCTTCCTCCTCTTCCTGGCGTTCCCCGTGTCCGAGCTGAAGTCTGAGGGCGTCGCGGGCCTCGCTGGTGTGCGGGTGGCATCTTGAGACCCTCTGCGAGTCGAGGGCGCGCCGCTCCACCGCGTCCAGGCAGGGTCCTCCTCCGACCCCAAGCGGCCTCACTCCGCGTGGATCACGTCCTGGCTTGGCTTCGGCGGCGGAGGTGGTCCTCCTTGATCCACTTCGAGTGTTTTCTAAAGAGGTGTGTCGGTCCCACGTCGCGGCTGCCACCCACGCAGGGGTTGGGTCCTTCACCTTCCTCGGGTTCTTCGCCTCCTCCTCGCTGCCGCTGAGCCCGCTCACGCTGCCCACGCTTTCGAGGTCGTCTTGGATGCTCAGGTCGCCCACGTTGAGGTACCGTGACACGTCGCCTGCAAAAGAACAAGGAACCAGTGCTTGAACATCCATAGAAGTAAAGTTCTATTTCACGTTTCAAAATATGGGGCCAAAGTCCCTGGCCGTCTCGTCAACCCCGCCCCTCCCAGCGCGACGAAGAGGAACAGAGGAGCCCTGCGAGGCTACCTCCTGAAGCTCTCTAAACGTTTATGGCATGAGGCTGGGGCTCTCGACCCCCGCCGTGACTCCTCCGTTCGTTGAACCACCTGGCAAACAAAGCAGTGCTCACTGATGCATCACAGGTGTTTAAACCGCTCGAGTCATCCTGGAACCGTTGGAATTGCACCATTGTCAGGCTCGGCATTGATGGAGGTGGAAATGAGTCCTTGGTCGAGAGCACTCATCATGCTGCCTTCTTTAGTGCCACACCATCTTCATTTCGTGATATTGGTACTGCTCCCCCTACCATAATTATCCTTGTTAATGGTAGATATTTTGAAAATAATAGCTTTAGCCATAGCAGTTCGGTATCACCCCCTCGAACTTTCTCGCGTCTGCAACAACAGTAATCATGAGGATGGATTCAGGAGAGAGGTCAGTCAAGAGGCCGGCTGGGTCAACGGGAACGGGAGCTACGCTTAAGGGTGTGTAAGCATCGCGTGACGGGATTCAGAGAGGCAGGAGTTGGGGTAGGGGCATGGGTAGGGGCATGGCCAGGGGCATGGCCAGGGGCAGGGGTAGTGGCAGATGTGTGGCCAGCATCACAAGGGTCAGCTGTGCGAAGAGGAGGGGGGCAGAGGAAGGGAGGGAGGAGAGGCAGGACCTACACTGAAGGCTGTTGCCTGCCATTAAATCAGATTTAACTTGGCATCTGTTCAATTGCATGGCCACCGAGCAGACAGACGCACGGCAGTCCAAATGTCTCGGATAAGAGACAGGAGCTTTTACTCCGATGCTCAACCATCTTGCGCGCGGTAACATTGAAACTTCATTTGGGAATCATGCAAGTGCTTCACTTTCACAGCGTGGGCCAGCTCGCCATCACGGCCACCGCAAGGTAAAGGGGCCCCGCGGAACGAACAAGAAATTAAGGAGTCACGTCCAGCCGCCTGCAAGCCCGACTCTTCCTCCAATACTTTTTTTTAATCTCCTTCTCGAATAGGAAGACGCGATACGAACGGACAGCATCGCTTCCGAGACGCTCGCATTCCTCGCAGCCAACAACGAAATCGAGAAAGCCGCAGCGGCCATCATCATATGCCAATTTCCACAGTTGTTGCTGCGAGGTGAGAAGTGAAACTTGGTGGTACGTCCATCCCTTTCGCTCGGCGCCCTCGGGGGATCCTGCCTCGAACGCCACCTCTTCCATATTCTTCATATTCTCCCTCTTTCTATTCATCACCATTATCTTTTTATTCTGACCTTCTGTCTTTCCATTCATTACTACCCGACGAGTTTCTTAAGGAGAATGTGACATTTGTTGTGGACAAAATCTGAACTATTCTCCCAACGAATTGAATGACACGTGATTGGCCAAGGTTAGGACTGCGCACCTCTGATGTTCGAGAGAGAGAGAGAGAGAGAGAGAGTGAGTGAGTGAGTGAGAGAGAGAGAGAGAGAGAGAGAGAGAGAGAGAGAGAGAGAGAGAGAGAGAGAGAGAGAGAGAGAGAGAGAGAGAGAGAGAGAGAGAGAGGAAAAAGGATTTACATTTTTACAAGAGGAAATAAGACCCATCACAGAAAGTCACGTGGTAGGATGTTCTTCGTTAAATAGTTAGGAAAGGAAAATTTTATTTATGGTCGCGAATCCGTGTAAACAGACCTGAAGACTCTTGAAAGTTTGGAAATGTTCATGTCTTGGCCTGGTTATTTTTACTGGACTGAGACCCTGAATCGAACAAACCAAAGGTTGGGTATTCTCACTTTTAGCATATATAGTTTTTATAATGTATGCGGACATATTTCTTTGTTTCTTATTGCGTGTCTAACTTAAAATAACAAGCCTGACACGAAAGACAGAAAGAGAGATCCAACACAATTTAACAGTCCTCCGTACCCGTAAAGAAAACGGCATAACGCGAAGAAAACGGCACAATTCAGACTCCAAGAGACTCCTTCAACTATCACCCTCGCAAGCATAGGTGGCATGGCCTGCAAGCAAGGAACAAGGAGCAAGAAGCCATCGTCTGATCACTTGATAGGAGTAGGGTGGGGGAAGGAGGGAGAAGGAGAAGGGAGGAAGGTGTATCGCCTCCCTCCTCCCTCCTCACCTCCCTCCCTTGCTCTCTCTCCCCCCTTGACACAGTGATCGTGAACTTCGGTCGCTGCTGGTTGGTGATCTTGGCCCAGATGTGACCCGACTCCCAGCGGCCCAGACGCTCACTCGCTCTTACTCCACCTCCCGCTCGTTCTCATTCTGATACTTCTCTTTACTTCTTGTTTGCTTCTGTTTTTGCATCCTTCTCTTTGTTTTTGTTCTTATTTGTAAGCATTTACTTCGTTTTCTTCTTGTCCTTCTTCCTTACCCTTTCAGGCCAGCCCCTCACCCCCCCCTAACTACCCTCCAACCCTGTCCTACATATTTCCATACGGTCCTAATTATTAGCCAGCGCTACGACTGCCCACCGACCACACCTTGGGACCACCCCACTACTACGACCGCCATCGCTGGGAACTATTCTCGCTCTTTCTCTCTTTCTCTCTTTCACACACACTATATCAAGGTCCTCGCATAGGTGAATCAGGTGAATGGAAAGATAGAGAGAGAAGAGAAGAGAAGAGAAGATAAGAGAAGAGAGGAGAAACCGTACGTATGAGAGTGAGGAAAATTAGATCAAAACAGCATCTGTAAAAAAGAAAGCTCCCGCAAAGCTCATCCCATTCAAGAAGGACAGCGAAGAGATACTTAATAGTTGCTTCTGTTAAAGTGCTTCAGGGACTCTCACTCCCCCCCCTCCCCTGCCCCCGCCCCCATTCTCTCAAAATAATCAAAACGCCACATTACAAAACAAACAACAAGCAAAAACACACGAACGCAAGTCAAGGTTTCAGTGTGTGTAGGAGGGAAGGGGGGTGGGGGGTGGGGAGGGGGAGAAGAAAGGGAGGGGATTGAGGGAGAAATTTCGAAGTTGCCCGAAGTTTCTGGAAGTCGAGCGCTTAGAACAACCCTTTTGATTATCATTATTTATATTGTTATTATTATTATTATTATTATTATTATTATTATTATTATTATTATTATTACTACTACTATTACTATTATCTATCAGACCAGAACACGAGAGCAAAGTGGTGTGGAGCTGGGCGGAGGATGAGGGGAGGGGAGGGTGGAGGGAGGGAAACGGAATGACGCAGGTACAATGCCAAAATTTCGGTTCCCTGCGTTTTCGTACACCGAGACGAACCTTGTGCGAAAACACGACCCCCATAGCTTTCACTCTCTCTTCCCGCTCCCCCTCCCCTCCCCCACCGCCACAACCCCTACCCCTTTGCCCCGCCCGCCTCTCTCCCTCCCTCCCTCCCACCTACCACCACCCCCTCCCCCTCTCCGTCCCTGCCTCCCCACCACTTCCCTCCCCCCCCCTCTCCTCCCACACCTCCCACCCGTGTGAAATATACATATTTTTTCGCCAGATCGGCCATTAGCAGATTCGCGACGCTGTAATTTCTGCGTGGCGCGTTTAACAGTGTGTGGCAGACGACTTTCCTCGCGTGTGAGTCCTTCTCGAAAAAGGGGGGAGGAGGGGATTCAGGAAGGGGGGAGGGGAAGGGAGAGTGGAAAGAGAAAGGGAAACAGAAGCGGGATGTGGAGAGGCGTCACTTGTGTAGTATGAATTAATGGTAGATTCCGTTACTATTTTAGAGGGAGGGAAATGGGGAAGGGGGAGGAGGAGTTACAATAAGGCCACGACGCCCCCTTCCCCACCCCCCCAGACACCGGTTGCTTTACCCAAATCCACTCGCTGAATCACCGTCATAATACAAGTGACGTTTATTGCTCCTCGGCGGGGAGAGTGCGCGAAGGGGAGCGAGGAGAGAGGGTGCAAAGAGGGGGAGGGGGTGTCTCATGAGCGTGAATGTGCGTGCATGAAAAATGTGTAGCCTTTTCATGCATATTCACTTTCTCTCCCTTCCCTTCTCCCATGCGGCTCTCTCCCTCGCTCTCGCTCTCTCTCTTGCTCCCTCGCTCTTGCTCTCTCTCTCTCTCTCTCTCTCTCTCTCTCTCTCTCTCTCTCTCTCTCTCTCTCTCTCTCTCTCTCTCTCTCTCTCTCTCTCTCTCTCTCTCTCCATGCGCTATCTGGCCTCGGAGTGATGAGATAAGCAAACTTCTTATAAGATCTCCCATGTGTAACAGAAAGAAAGACAAAAATAAAGAAAAATACATGGCACTGGTAGGTTTTCTCTCCAGCCTAAACATGGGTATATTGCTACGAAGCTTGCAAATGCAAGCGAAACCGTACATATATTTTAGGAAGTGACAGAAAAGAAGAGTATGCGCTGACGTCGGTGAATATGTATTTCCTCTTAAATACATTAAACATGGTAAATGGTGATCACAGTGAACCAGCCTTGAATGTACACACACACACACACACACACACACACACACACACACACACACACACACACACACACACACACACACACACACACACACACACACACACACACACACACACACACACACACACACACACCCCCCCCCCCCCCCCCATCCATCACCAACTCGGAAAATCCTTGAAGACCGACGGCGCACTGGAACCACCTTCTCGCTCGAGAGGCCGCAGAAGGCACGGCCCGCGTGGCTGACGGCGGCTGCAGCAAGCATTGCGATATCCCTTATCTCCCTCCCGTGACGTAGGATAACGAGCGATGCTGATTATGCGAAGGGCGCGGGCGGCGGGCGAAACGATCCGAAGCCTAACGGGGAGAAAATGGTTAACGTAATGACTATGATGGCGGCCTTAACGACGGCTAATGGACCTTTATGGACGAGTAATAATGAAGGCGAGGGTGAAGACTTATTCTTAATTTCAAGGTCGGCTTTCGCCACCTCCCCCCCTCCCTCCCTCCCTCCCTCCCTCCCTCTCTCTCTCTCTCTCTCTCTCTCTCTCCGCACGTGATACTTCGTACAGCTTACAGCTCTACACTTTATATCTTTTCTTTGTCTGTTTCTTCTTATATTTTACTGGTTTCCACCGGTAGCTTTTCCAGTTCCTGACCCCCCCCCCCCTTTCTCTCTCTTTCTCTCTCTCTCTCTCTCTCTCTCTCTCTCTCTCTCTCTCTCTCTCTCTCTCTCTCTCTCTCTCTCTCTCTCTCTCTCTCTCTCTCTCTATCCTATGCCATCCACACCCATCCCTTTATACTCAAATCATCCGCCCTCCTCCCACCCCTACCCTATTCCCTGATCCTCACCCTACTTCCAAATCCGTTCCCTTGGCCCTCTCTCTCTGCACACCCCCTCCCCTCCCTCCCTCCCTCCCCCGGGCCTCCCTCCGGCACCCGTCACCCGCTGAGTTGCACCTTGACCTACTTACGGCGGCGCCTCCTGACACCAGTGCTGTTTCCTGTACTGCCACACCTTGATGTGACGTGCTGCTCGGGGCTGTCCTGGGCGGCATGTCAACAGTTATGCTAATCTATCGTTGATGTTGTTATCGCCCCCCCCCCCCCTCCCCTTCCTCAGACTTCCTCCTCACACTTGGGTATAGTGTGTACAATGGCCAAAAGCTGCGTGCTTATCCCAAGGCAAGAATTGTACATAGCTTTTACAATGCGTTACCAAAAACATACTGGATGGACGGTACGCATCCTGAGCTGTGTACACCTGGGGTACTAACCTTGATCTATCTACACCTGGGTCACTGTGTACGGGGTGACCACTTTTCAGTGTCACTGGCGCATCCTTCTGTGTGCATGTGGCTAATCCTTTGCTGACTTCACTGATTTTTTTTCTTTATCTTCACACTACATATGCGATAATATATTTTTCGTTATTATTACCTTAAAACTACTTTCTTTTCTTCATGATGTCCTCATCAGCATCAGGCGATTTTCATCTCTTTCGCCCCTGCCTTTTGTCACAGTTTCTTCCATTTGGGCGATCTCGATGCGTAAAAAATGAACGTCGAAAATAAAAAATACACAAGAAACCTTAAAACGTCTTACGTTGACCGCACAAGAGGCTGTTTTAAATCACTTATCTCATCTTAAGGCGACCCTCGTATACTTACTTTGCAATCATATTTAAACTGAGCTTTAGACCTAAAGATATGAAGTATTCACTTCTAAAAGACTTCGGAACTCTGTCCATAAAACTAAAATCCGGAGTTTGTATTAGCAATGGAAAACCACAATACAGATTAGGGGACCCAGGCCGAAGACGAAAATATCCACACAATTTATTCTCCCCGCTCAAAAAAATGAAAATATCCACAATTACCTCGAAATCCAACGTCAGGTTGAATAGCAAGCACCGGCATTCAACGCAGAAATTCGCAAATACTACATTTTTTTTGCTTCACTCTCCTAAAATTCCCAAATCGAAACTAGGAAACTGCCCATAACACGTCCATACGCTAGATTACACCGCCAACCTTTGAAACTGCTAGCGTGACGTCACCAAAGGTCGGGGCAGTACGCTCAGGTGGGCGATCTATTATACATAGCCGAAACAGCCTCCCTCACTTTCACGTCGGTCCTCCACGCGCCCTCTTCGTGCAGCCCGGGACCTGAAAATGCCACCATGACGTCCTCGCAGAAATTATATTAATAGAGAGCAAATATCACCGCGATAAAGGATATAT